TGTTTGGTTGTCTCATTCCCCCCATTGCCTGGTGACCGTTGCCGTTGTCACCACACACTTGTGATTGTCAACAGCTGCTGCTGCTACTTCTCCTGCACCGGTGACGTCCTCTTCTCTCTCTCTCCCTGACCACTTCACCCAAACGTGAGCACTCAAATCCAGCTCTCAAGTTTTCTCTTTCTCTGCACCGACCAGTTGCAGTGAGGCGTTTTATTATATGCACAGTGAGGTGAAACACTGTGTCACACTGTTTGAGTTTGTGAGAGTTTGTGGTACGGCAACGGTAGCAGCAGCAGCAGCTGTACATCAGCAGGAAACATCAGTGGCAGACTTTGCCTGCCTGTCTGCCAGCCAGTGGTTGGGCCTTTTATATCACTCTTTGAATTATCCTCTAAACTATCTCACAACTATTTCCTCTCTCCAAACTGACTCATCAAATCATCATTGAGCACCACATAATTAACACGATCTTGATTAGCACCGGCGGCGGCTGCAGCGATCTCCTCAGCGAACTCGCATTGTGCACCACCACCAAAATACACAACACCACCACGATGCATTTGAAACCCGACCACAATTTTAGCTAATCAACTTCTTTCTGGAATCATCTCTCTTTTCTAAATCTTATCCCTTCCCCTTGAGCTTATATTACCTGTTCTTTCAAGTAGTAGAACTATTTCTAGTCGTTGTTGTTGTTTACCCTNAACTCGCATTGTGCACCACCACCAAAATACACAACACCACCACGATGCATTTGAAACCCGACCACAATTTTAGCTAATCAACTTCTTTCTGGAATCATCTCTCTTTTCTAAATCTTATCCCTTCCCCTTGAGCTTATATTACCTGTTCTTTCAAGTAGTAGAACTATTTCTAGTCGTTGTTGTTGTTTACCCTTTTAACGATCATCATGCCCACGCCCAACTACAACCGCCTCCGCCTGAAGACGTCAGCCGCCTCCGTCACCACCGCTTCGGTAAAGCTGATGCCCGCAGTGGTAAGGTCCTTTTGCGTCCGACGTTCTCTTTTGGCTTTCTTTCTACTTTTGATCACCCTCTTTGGCCTTCTGAGGTTGCTTGTCTACAGCAGCCGCCTGCAAGGTGGAAACTTCAGCAGCCACCGACCGACCTCTACAAACGGTCCCGGTGAGGCGGCGGCGGCGGCGGCCGAATCGGTTTTAGAAAATTCGTTTTCATTCAACCTCGCCAACCTGCCCACCGAATCGCCCGCCCTCGGCGATTACCTCCTTCACACCAGCAGCTGCCTCATCCCCCGCGTGCCCCTTTTCACCGAAGAAGTTCTGCCCTTTTACAGGCCAACGAACTCCACCTCAAAGGACTACCACTGCGCGAACACCTCCATCGTCGATCAGATTGTCCGCCTCAATGCGACGGCCGTTTTTATTCCGTCCTCTTTGAGCGGCTGTTCAGCTCGGGAGGTGATTCGCTCCGGTCATAATGAAGATCAAACCTTTGGGCAGAGTTGGAGTTCGGTCAAGTCCGGCGACAATTTTCCCAGCTCGGAAGCCATTTTGGTGGAGTGCGCTGGCGGCGTCAAGAAGCTGTTGCCGCTGGTGCCAGCTAAGAAACCATATCAGTGGGACGATGTANGACGGCCGTTTTTATTCCGTCCTCTTTGAGCGGCTGTTCAGCTCGGGAGGTGATTCGCTCCGGTCATAATGAAGATCAAACCTTTGGGCAGAGTTGGAGTTCGGTCAAGTCCGGCGACAATTTTCCCAGCTCGGAAGCCATTTTGGTGGAGTGCGCTGGCGGCGTCAAGAAGCTGTTGCCGCTGGTGCCAGCTAAGAAACCATATCAGTGGGACGATGTACCTCATTTAGAAAGAGACCAACTGCCGGAGAGCCCGGTAAATGTTCTGCTGATTGGCATTGACGCCGTCTCACGGCTGAACCTCCTTCGGCACATGAGGCGGACGGCGGCCTTCCTCGACCGGCACAACTTCACCTCGCTGCTCGGCCACCACAAGGTGGGCGACAACACCATGCCCAACCTCTTTGCGATGTTCACCGGCCTAGCGAAGGACACCTGGTGGGCGCAGCTGCCCGCCTCGCGCAAGCTCGACTCGCTGCCGTTCATTTTCAAGCGCTTCAGCAACGCCGGCTACCTGACCACATACATTGAAGACTACCCACACTGCGGCCTCTTTACCTTCCACGGCGTGAAGGGCTTCAGCGGCCGGCCACCGACGGAGTACTACCTGCGACCGGTCAACCTGTGGCTGAGGCGGAAGTCGCTGTACGATCACACCTGGTGCACCGGAGGGCAGCTGGAGATGGAGGTAAGTGGATGGGATAGGAGAAGTAGAAACTGGAGTTGGAGATGTTGTATTCGAAAAAGGGGTTCCCCAAAAAACGTACAGCGTTCTCTTTGTTTACGTTTTTTGAAATCGCATGGGACTCCCAAGTTGGAAGTTTAATTTTTAGTTAAAACTCTAAACTTTTTCCTTTTTTCTTTTCCTTTTCTCAGTACTACTACGACTACATCCTCGAGCAGATGGCGGCCTTCCGCGACCGCCACCAGCCCCACCTCACCTGGATCCACCAGTCGACCGTCAGTCACGAGGAGGTGAACAACTGCCAGTGGGCGGACGGGCCGGTGGTGCGCCTCCTGGAGCGCCTCTTTGCCGGCGGCCACCACCGAAACACCGTCATCGCCTTCTACTCCGACCACGCCATTCGCATCGGGAAGATCCTCGAAACGGAGAGCGGCTTCCACGAGACCCGGCTGCCCTTTCTCTACCTCTACGCGCCGGAGGAGTTGCGCCTCAAGTCAGACTCTGATGGAGAGCTTCTAAAATCGAAACAGCTGCGGGCGATCCTTGCCGAGAACAGCCGCCGCCTGACCAGTCACATGGACGTCCATGCGACGCTTCGCCACCTCCTCACGGGCCAGCCACCGACGGACGAGCCGCTGGGCCGGTCCCTCTTTACGCCCATTCCCGAGGAGCGGACCTGTCCGCAGGCGGGCGTTCCCGAGGAGTACTGCCTCTGCAAGCGCTTTGTCGCCCTCGGCGCCGACCACCGCACGGCGAGGGCCATAGCGGGCAAGCTTGTGGCGGGCCTTAATGAGCAGCTCCGCCAGAGCCCCGAGTACGTCGTCAAGTGCGCCGCACTGTCCCTTGATCGGGTGGTCACCGCGAAGATCGCCTTCAGCGGCGTGGACCAGGGCGAGAAGAAGGCGCTGGTGAATCTGCGCCAGGCGTTGGTCAGCCTGGTGTTTACCGTACTGCCCAGCGGGGCAAAGTTTGACGCCACCGTGAGGACCACTTTTATCAATGGAAAAGTAGGAGGAGGAGAGGACGCTTCAAAAGATGTCCTTCGTGTGGACCTCAATGCCACCGCGGCCGTGGGCAAGATTGCCCGCAATGATCGGTACGCGGAGCAGGGCGCCTGTGTGGCGGGCAGCTCTGTGGAGACGTTTTGCTACTGCAGAAGGCGAAGAGTTGGAGAAGTTAGTGGAGGTAGTGGAGTTGGTGAAGAGATGATCAACTGAACTCAAATGATGATGATGATGATGTCGCTGTGATAGTG